AACAATAAACAAAGTTAAATAAAAAGGAAATTAAATTAAATGTTGGAATTTGTATGTAACCCTTAATTTGATTTTAGAAAGTATAAGTATGCCACAGGTTACTAATTTACCCCATTTCATTGACCACGCAAAGCGCAGGGTTTTTTCCCGTAAATATGTCTTAGGATTCGCACGGAGTGGGATGGACAGATTTTAGGGCATAGATAGGAAGGAGAGTGTCTGGGGAAAAGAATTAAAATTTCAAATATTGAGAAATGTTGCCTTTGAACGTATGAAGGGTGTAAATAGGCCATGTTTACCTTCTTCTCAATGGGTAAGTGAAATATGCAGGGTATTGGGGTAACTCACAGTGTCTTAGAAAGACTTGCACACTGTGGATTCTCCCTAGATTCAGAAATATTTTAAGGCTATAATAAAAAATAAAAAAAACAATAAATTCCAAGGTGCATCAGACATGCCACTGAAGAAAATATTTATTTTTTTTCTTAGAACCACCTCTCCTAGATTCTGCCATAAATGCATTTTTTTTGGAGGGGGGTGCTCTTTCTTTTGGAAATACTTCAGAATGCTCTATATATTTTTGCTTTATATATTTTTGAGGTCTATTTGATGCTTTGCATCAATTTAACTTGTTCAATTCTTTTTTTGAGCCAATACAAATATATATATATATATATATTGATGATGAAAATAATAAAAATCAAAATATTTGAACTGAGTACTCGATCCGTTTTTCGCCAAGGGGGGGGGGGGGTATTCTGTCTAAAAAAAAAATACGTTTGTAAAGTACAAGAAAAGAGGACACGGGGTGGTTTAATCTGACTGGTGTATTCAAATACTATTATTGTTATATTTATGACGCAGTATTTTTCTCTGTTCTCCGTCATTGCAAGTTTAGGAGTAATGTCACAAAGGCTTGGGAATTTGTTTATGGTACACAAGAATTCAAACTAACGTTTTCCACAGTTTAACTATATTATTATTATTATTTTTTATTGATTCATGTGTAAGATTTCACTGATCTGTTACAAATTATTGAGGGTGACGTCACAATGGCTTGAAAACTCTCGATTTGCACACTAAATATGCACCTCTTAGCTGGAGGTGAAACAAGTGGGCGGATCATGGATCTTCAAATTTCAAAGACCGATTTCTGTACTGAAGACATTCCAGTTTCCTTTCCTCTTGTGATATTCAATTACCTGGTTGAAGGAGAACTTTTTGCAAACAATTAGAAGTACGTGTGCTGAACAACAAAGACAGTATACCTTATATTACGTACAATGCTTAATCGCCATTTTGCATTAGAAAAGTTCGGGAAAAGGTGTACCTGTGACGTCGTATTTTACGACTGTGACGTCGAGGAGTGGTTGTCTGCATAAGGAAGCTGCTGTAAATTTGGTAGTGTTTACATCGCTGCGTTTTTCTGACCATTTCGTTGGATTTAAATGTTGTTACGGTTGTGAAAACATATGTAAGTGTTTGCAGTTGTCGTGCTGAATACGCATCGGTATGTATTTTCGTTTGCTGCGAGTCATTTCTTCAGTCGGGTCTTCATTCATGGGACTATGAAGCCGTGCGTTGTTGCAGGGACCTATATAGGTCCCTGGTTGTTGGCAATGTTTAACGGATATCTACAACTCGGAAGGAACGTTTTGCGATAACAGTGGAGTCGTAGCATAATTTAATGACGGAAATTCGATGGATTATTTTAATATCGCCGTTTGATTGCAGAAAACTGCAGAATTTAGCGAGAAAATAATGACGCATGCGCAAATGGGGGTTAGTCGTTTTTGATGCCAGGCATCGACTAACCCCCATCTGCGCATGCGTCATTATTTTCTACAGCTACAACAGTAGAACACCAGATACACTGCATAAAAGACATTTACCCTAGAAATAATAATTATGACTGAAAATAAACAATAAAAATATGAAATTGGAACACAATAAAAACATGAATGAATAAAAATAAACAATATTTCAATTATATTAGCTTCTTATATACACACTTACCCATTTAGACAGTATCTACTACAGTGAAAACTGATAATTTCAAGCAAAACTAAGCTAGTTTTCGGGCACTACACCTGATTTCAGAATTTTCTGAAAATCCAGGATTTATAATTAGTCTAAGATTAAATAATTCCCTGTTCCTATATTTTCCGGATGAGTGACCAGGTTAAGGTTTTTGGAGAAGATCTCATTTCCAAGTAGCTATAAGCCCTATATTGACCAAACTTGCATGGATGATACATCTAAGGATGCACACTACTGGACTTGCTTCGGATGCTGGATTTGACCTACATTTTCCGGATGAGTGACCAGATTAAAGTTTTTGGAGCAGATGTCATTTCCAAGTAACTATAAGCCCTATATTGACCAAACTTGCATGGATGATACATCTAAGGATGCACACTACTGGACTTGCTTCGGATGCTGGATTTGACTTACATTTTCCGGATGAGTGACCAGATTAAAGTTTTTTGAGCAGATGTCATTTCAAAGTAACTATAAACCCTATATTGACCACACTTGCATGGATGATACATCTAAGGATTCACACTACTGGACTTGCTTCGGATGCTGCATTTTCTGGATGAGTGACCAGGTTAAAGTTTTTGGAGCAGATCTCATTTCCAAGTAACTATAAGGCCTATCTGAACCAAACTTGCATGGATGATGCATCAAGGGACGAACAATCTCAAAACTTGCTTCGGATGCTGGATTTGACTTACATTTTCTGGATGAGTGACTAGTTTTAAGTTTTCAGATAAGTCTATTCCCAAGCCCTATCAGACCAAAATTGCATAAATGTTGCATCTAGGGATGCACACTCCTAGATTATTAGTTAAGTGTGGGACTTTGCCTTACTTAAAGACAACATTCGTTGAGGTGAGCTCTGTAATCTCTGATTACCTATGTTTAAAACAGCAATAAAGACAATTAAAATAAAGTTGCATTATTTTGGTTCAAACCCTAGGTCTGGCTATAAAAATTCCGGGTAGAATTGGACGTTAAACGCTAGGCATTACAACTCTGGATGAATAATGACGTTTAGATCATGTTTTTGAATTGAAATAGACGAAGTAGATATAAATGTTTTGTCATAAAAGTGTGTCTTTCAGGTATAGCGGACCCATGCTCTATGTTTTCGTTAACCATAACATGTAAATATTTACGCAAGGCCATTGAGCAGTGAGGGATCTTTTTCGTGCCATTACTTACTACGACACAGGACCTCATTTTATACGATGTCATCCAAAGGATCGTTTTAAACGTTCCTCAGTGGGTTTCGAACCTGCGACGTAAAGATCAACCTCCAAGTAAACACTCTATAACTAACCACCACTGCGCCACGTGGAGTGAATAAGCACTTTTTTTTATAAAGGGTGGGGGCATTTTACTTCTCTAATCATCCATTCCAATTTCATCAGGCAGATCAACGAGCTAAGGATAAGCAGCTACAGAGTTGTACATAAATCCTCGTCTTTTATTTTGGCTTAATTGGTGTGCTTATATTTTATCTTTTCAGTAATGCAGATTTCTTTATTGTCTTTGTTGAGCTAACGATAGATGTTCATTTGGTTAATGATTTTGAAAATCTTTTTATCGTTTTTAATGACCCCCCCCCCCCTGACCACTTATCACTTATCACTGATACTTTTTTTTATCAAAAGATGTCATCATTTAACAGAAGTAAATAATTTCTTGACAGCCTTATCTATTGTTTCTTTTGTTTCATACATATATTTTCAAGTATAAGTATACTACTGTCGATGTAATTATTATTTTTCTTTAACATTGGGCTATTCTCTTGGAGGTGGAGTGGGATGGGTGGAGATGGTAGTTCCACATTAACTGTATTTAATGCCTAATCAAAATTCAGGCTCAATTTCAAGTTTTCATTGGAATAAATTAAACAAAAAGGATAAAAAGTAACTGTTATCAGAGAATATTTTTATGCATCTTTATAATTATTCCCTTTTTATAAAACATACTTCATATTTTTAAAATTCATCACCACTTTGCGCAATGCTTTATGTTTCAAAGATCAAGAAATTGCACTGTTATTATTCTTAACCACAATGTCTCCTATTGTATTGCTTAAATTTATACACACATGTCCCCTATTGTTTTGTGATAAGTTTTGCTCAAAAGTCCTCTGTTGGTTTAGAATAATTTATAAAGTCGTCATTTCTTGTATAATGATAAGGTCTAAACACACATATCCGTTATGATTCTATACAAATGTAATAAAAATGTAACAAATATCCCTTATTGTATTGCGATAATTGATACATATATTGTCCCCTGAAATATATCCTGATAATTAATTATATTAAATATACATTTCCCCAATTGTATTATGATAAAGGTTCCACTCTGGTAAAAATTAGAGTAAGAGTTTCCTACTGTGTCGGAGATACAGGGCTCTTGCTGTAACCCCGCCCTTTATATCCTATACAGTCGGAAACGAGTTTTCCATGGCCTTTCTTATGATCTCACTTATTTACAATTACATGCGTATTTGGGTACATATCTCTCAACCAATCAGATGATTTTGCAGAAAATTGGTTAAGTACCCTATTTTACTCAGTCTCAACAGAAATGCCGATTGAATTTGATGTGCAGGTACATGTATCAAGAATATAAATAATCATTATTGATCTGTGTATATGGTGTGTTTGCTGCAAAATTTAATCTTAGATTTGATTGCGTAGGTTTTTTCCTCTATAATCATCTTTTATTAACATTTTTTTTTAATTTAAGCTACGAGTGTGCAAAACATTTTGATCCATCTTAAGAATTATCTGGGAATGTAATAGGGGACAATTTTTTTTTCATGTTTGAAACAATTAACCAAATGCTGATCCAGCACATAATGGCGCACATCGACATACCACCCCCTTTCCTTCTTTTGAGTTTTCTTTCTTTTTATGCCCCCTAATGGAAGATTCGGGGGTATATAGTTTTTGCCCTGTCCGTCCGTCTTTCTGTCTGTTTGTCTGTTTCTCCGCAAAAACTTTAACCTTGATTATAACTTTTGAATGGGTGGGGCTATGGCTTTGATATTTCACAGGTGTATTTCTTGTGACAAGACCTTTCTTTGGGTACCAAATTTGACCTCTTGACCTTGGATTTTGACCCACTTATGCAAAAAATTATCACACTTTAACCTTGGCCATACCTTTTGAACAGTTGGGGCTAGGGCTTTCAAACTTCACATACGGATTTATTGTGACTAGTCCTTTTAGTAAGTATAAAGGATTTTGACCTTGATCTTAGAGTTTGACCCACTTTTAACAAACTTTAACCTTGACCATAAGCTTTGAACCGTTAGTACTAGGGCTTTCATATTTCACAAGTATATTTCTTGTGACAAGACTTTTCTTTTGATACCAACAATTTTTACCTTTTGACCTTGACCTTGGAGTTTGACTTGCAATTGAGAAACGTCAACCCTCACCGTAAGCTGCCATACGGAGGCATCAGTGTTTCACAAACACATCTTGGTTTTTTTTTTCGTATATTATGTTTGTTTAACTTGTATACGCTTTTCATTTATCCATACCTAATGATTACGAACATACTTTCAGGGCTGATAACATGTATGAACCTCCTAACCCCCCTTCCGAAATATGCAAAATTTAATTTTGGAGTGCCGACAATATTTTGTTGTACATGAAGTTGTAATTTAGGCTGACCTGCATTTCCCGTATTTCTTTTCATGTACTGTCAAAGATTGTTGAATATTTCAGACACTTAGTTTTTGGTTACTTAATTACCTCCGCCACCCCCTCCCACCCCCGCCTGCGTAGCGCAGTGGTAAGAGCCTCTGTTCTAGAGTCGCGGAGTAAGGAGTCATTCCTTACGTCGCTGGTTCGATTCTCACTGTGGGACGTGGAGACCGGTCCTACGGCTAAGACCGCATAAACCGAGGCCCGTGTCACATGGGTGTTAGCACGAAAAAGATCCCTCACTGCTCAGTGGCCCTGAGTAACGGGTATAGGGCAAATTTTGCAGCACCGGCAAATGGTCGCGTCTCCATATGAGTGAAAAAAATCTCGAGAGGAATTTTAAACAACAAACAACTCCCTTCCCCTGTTCCCAACACAAACTTTTTAAAATCGATGCTGGGTCCCTGATATTTTTTTTTTGTTTTGAAATGGATGTTTTAATAAAAATCCTCTAACAAAAGACACTTATCTTTTCGATAATGAGAAATGTTTGGTAATTATGCCATCAACTAAGTTAATGCACATTTTACGTTAATTTCCCCTTTAATTGAATATAAAGATCATAAAAAAAATTGTGAATTTGTAAAAAAAATTTCCAGTAATTAAAATACCTTGTCCATAATACTGTTTTTATGCCCCCGTTATCGAAGATTCGGGGGTATATAGTTTTTGCCCTGTCCATCCGTCTGTTTGTCTGTCTATTTGTCCGCAAAAACTTTAACCTTGCTCATTACTTTGGAATGGATTGGGTTATGGCTTTTATATTTAAAAGTTCTATTCCCTTTGAAAAGACTTTTCTTTGGGTACTACAAAATTTGACCTCGTGGCCTTGACCTTGGAGTTTGATCCACTTTTACAAAAAAATTCCAAAATTTAACCTTGGCCATAAATTTTGAATAGTTAGTGCTAGGTTTCGTATACTTCACATGTGTATACACTCTGACAAGACCTTTCAATTGGTATAAAAGTTTTTGACCTTGATTTTAGAGTTTGACCCACTTTTAAAAAAAACTTTTACTTTGGCCATATCTCTTGAACCGTTAGTACTAGGGCTTTCATATCTCACAGGTGCATTCCTCGTGACAAGACCTCCTTTTGGATATCAGCGAGTTTAACCTAATGACCTTGGAGTTTGACTTGCATTTGAGAAACTTCAACCCTCGCCATAAGCTGCCATACGGGGGCATCGGTGTTTCACAAACACATCTTGTTTTCTATTTCAAAGGAGTAATTATAATGGCCTGTACGTAAGATGTGCAAATGGTTCTCATTTTTTAATGGGTACTTTTTTTTATTTATTTATTAATTTACAAATTATCGTACTTTTCTCGAACGAAAGGGTGCTTGAAAGGATCTTTTTTGATCGATTTATGAACAGATAAGTACTTTAATATAATGCATTTAAAACGAAATTGGTCAATAAAGTGATATAAAAATGTTTTTATTGCAAATAAATGCAGTATACTCATAAAACATATCAAGAAGAAGAAATTTTGCTTATTGAAAAAAAAATATATGGATATGAAAATCGTAAATGGTTAATATCCTTAAATATACATAAAATCTTCAAGAAACATTATACATCTATATATGAAGTATTACATGTATATGATCATATTCTAAATAGAAATTGTAATGAAATTGCTAGATTTAAGAAAAAATGGTGATGTTGAAGTTTGTATTTTCCCCGATTATTTTGTTAAAAAACATTCTGATTGTACACACAAGTTCTCTGAAGTTGACATTAAAGAGATGCTTGAGTTTCTGATTGACAATATCTATGTGGTTTTTGGAAACCAGATCTTCCAACAATCTATTGGAATTCCCATGGATATAAATTGCGCCCCATTATTAGGAGACCTTTTTTGTATTCATATGAAGCAGAATTTGTCCAAAATCTTGTACGTGAAAAGAAGAAAACACTTGCTGTGGCCTTCAACTCGACATTTAGATATATCGACGACGTATTTTCAATTAACAAAGGTTATTTCCATTCTTATGTCGATACAATATATCCTGGTAAGCTTGAGATAAAAGATATCACAGAGTCTGATACATCTGTTTCATATTTTGATATTTTACTTGAAAAAGACGTTAATTGGTAATCTAACAACCAAGCTTTATGATAAACGTGATGACTTTAACTTTTCAATCGTCAACTTCCCTTACTTATGCAGCAATATACCTTCATCACCTGCATACAGGGTTTATATCTCTCAGTTGATTCGATACGCAAGAGCATGCTCTACGTATGAATAATTTCTAAAACGAGGTAAATTATTGACAAACAAGTTGATGAAACAAGAATATCAGCTGTTTCGTTTAAAGTCATCATCATTTCGTAAGTTCTATGGTCGATACAATGACCTTGTCAGCAAATACAATTTATCATTGAGTCAAATGCTGACTGACGTTTTTCATACTAATTGTTAGGCCATTTTTTTACACACTGAATTGTCAACGGATTTTTCCATTATTTCCCAATCATGACAAGGAGCACACGGCGGGTGTGACCGGTCGGCAGTGGATACTCACTCGTCCATGGCACCTGATCCCACCTCTGACGTCTCGGAGGTCCGAGTTTGCTCTGCTCCTATTTTGTATTGTTTGATGGACTTTTGAGCTTGAATAATGTTTGTTATCTCTATGTATTTCAATTTTTAATTAAATGTTTTGGTGTAAACAACGAAATTTTAGTACGTGAGTCTAGGTAACGAGACAGTGGCAGGAGATGTACAGTATTTCAGTTAGGCTGAGTCAGATTGAGCATGTTTAAAATTAAAGTGGACTTTTTTGTATGTGTAAATTCCAGGTAACACGTTTTACCTGCAGACTTTTTAGCGAATAAAGCAAATGAATTAGGAATATGTTTTAAATAGAAATTAAATCTGATATATAGGCAGATTAGGTTTGATTACGTGCATTTTACTGAAATTTCCATGCGAAAATGTGGCCAACTTTATTTTTCTTTTTATGACAGTATGCTATATAACAAGGGATTTTTTTTGCTTTATCTATAACCATGTCTGCCTTTAACCATAGGCGTCGGAACCGGGGTAGGGGGCTAGGAGGGCATAACCCCCCACTTTTTTGCAGACATAATATAGGCATTGAACATTGGGGTGTAGGTTTAGCCCCCCTCCCCTTTCAACAGGCAGACGTATCAGTGTAGTCAAAGAAGGGTAAGCGAAAGGGTGGGAGGAAAAAAAATGATACAAAAGACGTTTGATCCCTCCCCCCCTTCCACCCCCCCCCTTCCACCCACCCCGAAATAGGATTTTCGAGTTTGGAGAATTTACTTTTTTTCCTTTTTAGCTCTACTGTTCAGAGAGCAGAAGAGCTTATGCGATAGTAAGGTGTTCGTCGTCCGTCCGTCCGTCTGTCTGTTTGTCTGTAAACATTATTTCAAAATGCTACTCCTTCTACAGTTTGGTCTGATTTCAATATAATTTGGCAACAAAGTAGACTACACTAGAATACATAATTCTATATATCGGTGTTTGATTTTGATGAAGGGTGTTGCCGTGGTTACTAAAAATAAAAATTTCTGTGAAATATTTTAAAAATGCTACTCCTCCTACAGATTTGTCTGATTTCATATAACTTGGCACACAAGTAGACTACACAAAGATACATAATTCTATGCATCGATTTTTGATTTCGATTAACGGTGTTGCCATGGTAACTAAAAATAGATATTTCTTTGAAATACTTTTAAAATGCTACTCCCCCTACACTTTTGGTCTGATTTTAGCAGCTCGAGGAAACTATTTTCTGGGACGTCAGAATAAATTTACATGCTAAATGAGGCACCCAACGTGAATGGCAAACCGACATCAGCTAAATGAGTTGCATTATAGGTTACTACAAAAAATTTGCTTCCGACGCCAATGTAAACTATTACATGTACTTACACGAATAAAAAAATGATTTTTAAATATATTGGCATGATTTTGGGACAGGATTCTTATACTTTTTGAAATTCTGATATGTCTTGGTTCCCGAGAACGTTCATATAAAAGCTGTAGGAATAAACAAAATGTTAGATTCAGATATATTTATTATTTATTATATACCCAAGTGCGTATCACTCAATTTTACTGTAGATTTCGTACAATTGCGTGACGGTGTGATCAAACTTTTCGGATCACCACATTGTGGTTTTCTGAATTCATATCACCCCTCTCTGAAATTGATGACGTAGTACACAGAAACATGACGTAATTTTTCATGCGCATCTTAGAGTTCCTTGACAAAATGCTTTGTTTAATAGAAAATCTTATATAATTGGTCTCAAAAGGTATTTTTAAAACTATATTTTGCTAGTTGTAAGGGGGTATATAATAAATTTATCATTATAACAGTAACTTTATTCGAAGAGTCGTATCACGCCGAGTTGACAGGCGCGGATTATCAGATCAATGAGACGCGAAGCTGTTATAATAATGTATATAAACTATTTGAAATTTCGGGCAAGCGCGGGGAAATTCAATTTTTTCCACTGTTGACAGATTTATTCGAAGAAAAGTAGTTTAGGAACGGAAGTAGATATACTCATCCTTATTTTTTTTTTTTACTTTAAAAAGTATCAATTTAATAAGCGTTTTCTTCTTACGTGTTATAAAGCAACTTTATTTTGATATCTGCTGTACTATGTCATACATAATGTACTATAAGTACTCATTAATTTACATTTCCTCTTGTAATAGAAAATTTATTTTGATATCTGCTGTCCTATTATTCTTTTTCATACTACAGATGTTCTGTTTCCTTATACATCAAGGGTTAAAGAAGCCAATGTGCACATTTATTGTACTCGTACATGTTTTTGTTTGCATTTTTTGGTGGTAAAAATTCGGTTTTCACTCCATATGTATACAGGCCTAAATGGGTATTTAGATCTTTAATACAAAAGATACGATAAAAAAAACACTCTGAAATGAATTTATAAAAGCACTCACTTTTAAAAACTATTTGGTAAAATGTAAAACAAAAAATATATATATATATAAGGTACCACTTTTACTTACTATATTTAAACAAATTAAAAAATTGGGTTCGATGCCCTATGACGTTCTAGAACTTTCAATCAAGAGTGAGATCTGACGTAAACGGAAAAGTTTCGCACAATTTTTTAAAATCTGATACCACAACTTTTTTTTCTTTTATTTCAGTTAAATCAAAATTTGAATGAATTATTCATTAATGACATTTTACGAAATTATTAAAAGCTTGCCTGTTGTCAGTTTCATTTAAAAATGTCTGTAACTAAGATCCGCAAACCGGAACCACCACCGTACTCTCGTTTTTGCTATCTTGAGGCTATTAATCGAAAATGAAAGTAGACTTTTAATTAAATTAACGATAATTACTATGCGAGTGAAATCTGAATATAGATTACGGACATCACCTTATACTTAGTGCATTCCTAGAGGAGAAAGTATGAACTCTAGTGGAAGTGTTCCGGATTTTTTTTTTTTTTTTTTTTTTTTTTTTTTTTTTTTTTTTTTTTGGCAAAATTTATTAATTTATATGTATAGATTGTACAGGAAAATATTACGATACTGCATTTTATATGAAAGTAAAAATATCAGGCAAGCATTAACCGTTGACGCATATAAGATAAGGAATCGCCTCACACTCTGTCGAGTTGTTTTGAGTCATAATTAGTTTTGAGTTATATTAAGGATATCCGATCCTCAGCCAGGAAGGATAACTCTTTAATTTATTATTTTATTAAGTCTTAAAATGAAGCTTGAAATTGAGATCTTTTTGTGCAACAATTTTCATTTTATGCATCTCAATATGACTTAAAATTCTTTGAAGTCTTAGAAACAGTCTTGTAAAAAGTTGACAATTGTACCCCATAAAAGAAAAAAATGAATTCATTTTTAGCGAAATGGAATTTCTTTTAGCCTAGCATTAGACACCAACGCTTTTTACCATGATATGAAATTAGATGTGGTATGTGATGTCTAACAATGATAGCATAAACTCTTTACATTGTGTATTATATAATAATTGAAGTACAGAGAAGAATTGAAATACTGTATAAGCATAAAAAAGATGCGATTTTCTCCGAATGCCTGGATATCTATATTTTTCTATCCTAAATTATATTTGTTGCTCAATTTTCAATTAGAAAATGCATAGTTGGTGTATTTG